AACAAAATATATATTGTGTGTTGGAGTGGTCCAGATGCTACAATAACATGAATTGTTAACATTATTGTATGGCGTACCTTGTCAGTATCTTTGCTTGGCCATTTGTTGTGATAAACAGGAAAGTGTATTCAAGCGCCATCAAAAACACAGTGTAAAGAAATACTCTTTGAGAGAAGCAGTCAATCAGCAGAAGTTAAAAGCAGCTCGTAAGTGTATTTATTTCTTGTCTCAGTGTTTAGCGTTTAGTTAATTAGACTCTATTTGTATTGGTGTAATTCACAAAAATCACCACAGGAGGGCGCAATACGTTCAAGTTCATTAGACTCGATTTGCAGTGGTGTCTTTCACAAAACAACAGCTGCATCACAGACTCTGTGGCTCTGTGGATAATGTGTTTTCTTTCATGCATTGGAGTCTTGGATCAAATCCCACAGTCGGTGAAGTTATTCATCATTTACAACCAAGCTCTCAATAAAAACCCATTAAAAATATTCATCAACTTCACAATCCCAGTGGCTCAGGCGATAAACTGTTGCGTTTAAATCATGGTGTGTTGAGGTCATATCCCACCGCTGCTTATGTTAAATTGTTCTCATTAAATCCCACTAAGTCACTCAAACACTAAGACTATGTGAGCGCTCTGATGGGCTGGTGGATAAACACTTGCTCATTGAGTACAAGATGGTGATGAAGACATGATTTCAAATCACATGGCAGATAATCATATTTACAGGATAGTTTATTATAAAATCACGGGTCACATACAGGTTGACGGTAAAATATAAGTTCCTGCACAGGGATGGACATGAGATCTAGGCCTACAGAGAAAAGAGCTGTCTCATGGTTTCAGATGTTCCCAGACAGATCTCAGTGATATGTTTCCTTTCATTTAAAACAAAGATCTCAACGAAATACCATTCAAAACACAGCTTAACACACCAGCCTTAGTAGCTCAGTTCATAAAGCGTTGTGGTTTAATCAAGGAGATCTGAGTTTGAATCCTATTAATGCTTATGTTCAATTGTTGGCCTTATATCCAACAAAGTGCCCCAAATGCCATCTCTCAGCATAAGAGCCACAGTGGCACTAGTGGCTAAACAGTGTTCATTGCATTCAAAGCTACGATTGAAGCATGGGTTCAAGTCCCACCTTAGCGTTTCAAATGACACTCACACAATTAAAAAATTTAGTTAGTTTATTGTAAAATCACATGCAGGTGAATAGTGAAATATAAGTGCCTTCACATGTTCAGACAAGAGATCTGTGGCTCACAGGTTAGAGCGCTGCCTCGTGGTTCAGAGGTTGCTGGTTTGATCCCAGCCAGATCTCTGTGATATGAGTGAGTGTTGTGTGAATGAAGGAGTGGGGATGATTCGGGTCCCCCCCGAGCCCCGGCACGATGTCCAGCAGGGGTTATACTTCTTGACAGAAAATTTAATTTCATCTGTATAAATTTTCAGCTCCGCCGTCCCTTCCCCACCTGTTTAGATTACCATCATTTGCTTTAATAGAGAGGTGACCCTCCAAAAAGCAAATGATGGTAACCTACATGTTTAGTGCACAACAAAACACAAACATAAGTTATGAGTCTTACCTGTCCATCAGCGGATGTCCATCATTACAGTGAAAGTCTGTCCACACGTCCCAGAGCTCTGCTTCTGATCAAACTCATCCCTTACTCTGTAGAGGAAAGAGAGAAATAAACACAGACATTACTTTATATAGTACATCTAAACCATCAGCATTTAAAATTGAGCATATATATAATAATACATAAAAACATAGGCATGTAAACAACTGCCTTAATACATTCTTTGTTGTCAAAAAGCAAGTGGACTATTTAAACAAGATTTTAGGTAAAAAAAAAAAAAAACTACAACACATCAACAAATCCACGCGTATTTGTGACCCTGGACCACAAAACCAGTCTTAATCTCAGTTTTGAAAAATTGACACTTAAAGGGGTCATATGATGCGATTTCAAGTTCTCCTTTCTCTTTGGAGTGTTACAAGCTGATTGTGCATAGATAAGATCCCTGAAGTTGCAAAGACTAAAGTCTCAAAACCAAAGAGATATTCTTTATCAAAGCGCTTCAGTCTCACTCACCAGCAGACTCCTGCTCTCTCGTGTGGTCAACACATCTATCAGCGTTCATTCATTAAAACGACAAGGTGGCCAGTCTTCGATTTCAATTTCATGTATTTTACAACAAATCTCATACTTTGCCACAACCAGCTGAGAAACATGGATCTGTCCGTTTCTCTAAATGCACCTGATCAGCTCTCGACCGATGAGGTTAAACTGATTAAATGTTGTGTTGAACTCAAAAGCGCACACATAACCCACAGAACAAAAGGCTTTCCAAGATTCTTGTGTTTGGGTAACTGAGATTGTTTATTTAAATGGATGTGCACCATGTTTGTTCACAGTTGAACAATGATTTTTGTGTGTTGTCTCTTGTGATTATTTAGGTTTTGGGGAATTGGAATGGATCCTCCAGCTCTCCCTTGAGGAGCATCTGGATAGCGAGCGCTTCCCAATCCTCATCCTGCTCGGAGTCTCTGTCTGAAGCTCTGGATGGTGAGGAGGAGGTTATGATGGAGGAGGGCGACAGTGAGCAGGCAAATATATTCACTACCGGGATGTGTGGAAGAACAGTGTAAAGTGAGCCTGACTGATCTGCACAGAACAAACTGGCTGGTCAGAGTGATTGAGCACTCATGCTTTTATAGCAAAGACTGACAGGTTATTTGAAAACAGGACCGATTTGGACAAATGCTAATTAAACCCTGTATCAAAATGACAGCTGACAAACTAATGACTAAACATCGAATATTTTTGCTTATTTTAAATTAATAGAACAGACGCGCATGCATGAGATCAGATCAGAATGTCAGCACTCAGCAACACCTTGCTTTTATCTGTAAAACTGCAACAGGGCTGTCTCCTGCTCCTGCTGAGTCACTTTTCTGAGTTTAGCTCCAAACTGATTGAAAACACCTGAAGCAGCTAATCAAGGCCTTTAGGACCAGAAGCTAGAAACTTCCCGGCAAGTTTGTTGGACCCTATGCTTCTTATTAAATAAAGAATAATAATAATACAAATTAACAAATTGTTATTTACATGTTGTGGGTTTATCAGGTTGAGTTTGACATTTGACGGATCAATACACTTCTTAAAGATAATTATGATTGTTTGTACATTTGATTCTGACTGATTTGTTAATGCACTGATCTTGGAGTCCTGAGTTCAAATCATGTCAAACAAAGTCAAAATCTCAATAAAACCCTGTTGTCACAAACGCTGTGGCGCCGAGGATAATTGCTTGCCCTCAAACATGAGCATCTTGGTCCAAACCCCACAATTTACAGTTTTTCATAACATCATACAAAGCCCTCAATAAAACTCTGTCCAATATTCACTTCAACTTCATAGACTGAGTGTCTCAGATAATTAAGCGTTGCGTTTTAATCATGAAGACCTGAGTTCAAATCCTGCTATTGCTTACTGAATTGTTAATGATGCTGTTGCTAAACTAAACAGCAAAACTAGCAAACTGCCACAAACACTGCGGCTCAGTGGAGGAGCGTTTGTCTGTCATTCACTAACATCCGGGTTCAACTCCCACAAACACTGTTGTTCTTCATTAGTTCAAACAAAGTTCTTAATAAAACAGCTCCAGAAATCCAGTGGCTCAGTAGATAAAGCATTAGACTTTCATCTATGAGACCAGAGTTCAAATCTCACTATTGCTTACTTCAAATCATCACTGTTACGTTCAACAAAGTGTCGTAGAAGTCCAGCACAGTGGGTTAGTGGTAAAGCGTATATTTTCGGCTGATGAGGCTGCGATTGAGGCATGGGTTCAATTTCCACCTCAGTGTGTTCAGACAACAATCAGCTATCTGATGGGTTTGACTGATTTCTTGTAAAATCACATGCAGGTGAATAGTGAAATATAAGTGCCTTCACATGTTCAGACAAGAGATCTGTGGCTCACAGGTTAGAGCGCTGCCTCGTGGTTCAGAGGTTGCTGGTTTGATCCCAGCCAGATCTCTGCGATATGAGTGAGTGTTGTGTGAATGATGGGACGGGGATGATTCGGGTCCCCCCCGAGCCCTGGCACGATGTCCAGCAGGGGTTATACTTCTTGACAGAAAAAATAAATACATTTTCATCTGTATAAATTTTCAGCACCGCCGTCCCTTCCCCACCTGTTTAGATTACCATCATTTGCTTTAATAGAGAGGTGACCCTCCAAAAAGCAAATGATGGTAACCTACATGTTTAGTACACAACAAAACACAAACATAAGTTATGAGTCTTACCTGTCCATCAGCGGATGTCCATCATTACAGTGAAAGTCTGTCCACACGTCCCAGAGCTCTGCTTCTGATCAAACTCATCCCTTACTCTGTAGAGGAAAGAGAGAAATAAACACAGACATTACTTTATATAGTACATCTAAACCATCAGCATTTAAAATTGAGCATATATATAATAATACATAAAAACATAGGCATGTAAACAACTGCCTTAATACATTCTTTGTTGTCAAAAAGCAAGTGGACTATTTAAACAAGATTTTAGGTTAAAAAACAACACATGAACAAATCCACTCGTGTTTGAGCTTTAGTGTGCGCGAGGAGACACATTAAAAACAACTCATGAAATTCATCATAACATAAATCATAACATAACATAACACTGTCAGCGGAGCACCGCTACAACATATCAGAGGAAATAATGACACATCAAAACTGAAATACTTGGTTATTAAAGTAAATAACGACTTAAGTGCAAAGAGTAAGTACTTCAATGTTAGTGCAAGAGAAAAGCACTGCGTGTGTGGAGTTACTTACAGTGACTCTCGACTCCTGCACTTTATCGCAGCGGGGGTCGGTTTGTTTGTTTATGTCACCATCGCAAGCTTGATTTGTCTAAAACAGATATCCTTGCAAGATTCTCCCTCAATCAGATTTATTACCATAGATGTCAGGCGGTAATGGACAGAAAACAAATATCAGTTGTGGGCGTTTTTCTGTCCTCAATTCGGGGCACGAAATTAAACACCTGTCAACTGCCAACTGTGAACAGAAAACACAGCGGACCAACACCAGCAGATGACATGGCAGCCCAAATCATCACTGACTGTGGAAATTTCACACTGGACTTCTAGCAACATGGTTTCTGTGCCTCTCCACTCTTCCTCCAGACTCTGGGACCTTGATTTCCAAATGAAATGCAAAATTTACTTTCATCTGAAAATAGGACTTTGGTCCACTGTGTTTTCTGAAGTCCACAGTCAACGCTGCCATCTACCAGGAAATTTTAGAGTACCTCATGCTTCCTTCTGCTGACAAGCTTTATGGAGATGCTGATTTCATTTTTCAGCAGGACTTGGCACCTGCCCACACTGCCAAAGGTACCAAAAGCTGGTTCAATGACCATGGTGTTACTGTGCTTGATTGGCCTGCAAACTCGCCTGACCTGAACCCCATAGAGAATCTATGGGGTATTGTCAAGAGGAAGATGAGAGACACCAGACCCAACAATGAAGATGACCTGAAGGCCGCTATCAAAGCAACCTGGGCTTCCACTACACCTGAGCAGTGCCACAGACTGATTGCCTCCATGCCACGCCGCATTGATGCAGTAATTCATGCAAAAGGAGGCCCAACCAAGTATTGAGTGCATAGAAATGAACATCCTTTTCAGAAGCCTGACATTTCTGTTTAAAATATCCTTTTTTTATTGATCTTATGTAATATTCAAATTTTCTGAGACACTGAATTTTGGGTTTTCATTATCTGTAAGCCATAATCATCAATTTCAAGAAATAAAGGCTTGAAGTATTTCACTCTATGTGTAATGAATCTATATAACATATGGGTTTCACTTTCTGAAATGAGTGACAAAAAATATTGACCTTTTTCATGATATTCTAATTTTTTGAGATGTACCTGTTATATGTAGTTTTGGTCGTTCTGAAATGCCTGAGGAAAGTCTGTCATCAAAGTATTTCTGTATAATTACTGTCTTACAAGACTGCGTTCCCAAACAGAAGGCATCCACCTATAAAAGCAATGACTGCATTTATTGTGTTACGTCTGCTCTCTCTGAAGTGCAAGTCATTTATTACATATGAAAATTATTATATTCATATATTTATTTTTGTGATTTTGTTCTGCACTAAAATGATTTGCGTCCTCCTATGGTAACTTTCCTGGTTCCATCCAAAGAAGTGAATTTAACTTGCCAGTTTATCAGGAAGTGACGATTTAGTTCTCTTTGACTCGTTGGATGGGAACGGTGCTTTATTCGCAAATGCAATGCAAATGTTTTAAGCGATATTCCAGTTTTGCGCATAAGTTAAATTCGCATCTTTGGATGGAAACAGAAAAGTTACCATAGGAGGACGCAAATCATTTTAGTGCAGAACAAAATCACAAAAATATTAATAATAATAATAAAAAATAAAAATGATGATACAGTCAATACAATAAATTAATTAATTAAATGATAAAAGAAATGACTTCTTACATAAAATATTTTTTTTTATCAGTTGTAGCCTATATTTAAATAGGCTATAGACTCTTTTCTCACATAAGTTTTACAGAAAAAAAGTCAGGTTTTATCAGCAATTTTGTATTTTGAACTATTTAAAAAAATATTGATTTTATATCAAATAAAATAAAAATAGTAGAATACATTTTCTTAACAGTACATTTAAACTTCTATAACTTTTTAACACTTTCATTTGATTAAATTTCACAGATTTCTGCTAATTGTCTTCTTTAAAAAGAGACCAACCTTAGGTCTGCATTCAAAAGCGTTCGTGAATTATAATAATTTAATCTTTAATCTTTGAGTTTTCAAAGATGGGGATGACAGTTAAGGGGTTAACTCTGCTTACAAGCGGCAACTCTCGGCGATCGGTTCAATTCTATTCGAAGTTCGAAAAGTCGAGTACAGCCGGGTACTTTTCGACTCGACAGGTAAAAAGCGCAGTTTCCATCCGCTCCACTAGGCGGCGTCAGCGAGCGACACTTTCAGCCTGAACTCCGTTAGATCCTTGACAACATTCTGCAGTGACAGACTCTTAATGCCACTCAATTACAGCCCGCCAGCAAGCAAAGCGACACACACTGCGATAAAGTGCAGGAATCGAGTGTAACGCGACTCACCTGTAAGTAAGTTTCCGCGTGCGTCGCGCTGTCAGTGAGTAATGACAGCAGTCCGTCTGATGCTGCACGTGGATCTGGTGTGTTTGTTTTGCTCGCGGTGTTTCTGCACATCTCTCACCTGCTGCTCCTCCGGACACTTCTTCACATTCAGAGCGATTCAGATCTCCTGTAAAGGTAAATCTGTCGTTCTCTTACATCTCCAACTGAGAGACTTCATAGTGTGATGTTAGTCAGTTGCAGACAGTGTTTGGAGGAGGGACTTGCTCTAGACAGTATTTGATTGGATAAAATATGTCTGATCTGCGAAGAGAATGTGTACAATTTTACATGCATTTGTTAAAAGCATTCTGTCACTAGTATATAAATGGCTTTAAAGCTAATAGACATGGGCTGAAATATTTCATAAAATCTTGTTGATGAGAAAAATTGTTATTTGACCATATTTTAATCACGAAGACAGTGATATACATATATATGAATATGAAGGTCTACTTTTAGAATACCAATTGAATCAGTAGCTGTTGCATTACCTTTATAAGCTTTATATGCATACCCCCTTTATTTTCATATTATCAAGTGTATTATCACACAGTGTGGGTTGGTGTTTTGTGAAGCGCTGATGGTCTTTTCTATGTCTAGCTATGATTGAAGTGCTTCTGCTGTGGATTTGTTTGGAACTATTTTCATTGGCGAAAAATGTCTAAATAATAGGTCAGTTAATATTAACTTCTTGTTGATTAAATTGTATAAATCAATGTCACATTTGCAGTCGTGCTGATATTCTGGAAAACAGCACTCGTGCTGGTGTGATATTGCCAACTGTACTGTATGGTATAGTTATAAAAAACAAGATCTCAGACAGGGGCGTTTTTTGCACCCTTATATTGAATTTTGGTGGCAAATTAACATGTAAACCCTAATTAAATTCCAAGCTGCTTTCCGTTATTGTGTTGTGCTAATAGCGAGTTATAAGCTGGTAAAAAAATACCACCATATAGTGATAATAGTTTTAATATTATAGATATATTTTATATAATATTTACATATTATTTTAAATATTTGAAATACAATAGAGTATCCAGTTGTATCTAGACACAAACTTTGTTTAGTAATATTAGTATTTATTTATTTATTTAATTATACATAGAATCAAATTGAATTCAGATGTCAGTAAATGTATTTATTTCTTTACATTTGCAACAGTCATTTTAATATTCTAATTCTAAATATTTACCAATTTTTAAGTTTTATTATTACGATTTATTTGTACTTGTATTAGGGCTGCACAATTAATCGAATTTCTAATCGTGATTACAATTATGGATGCCACAATTACATAATCGTTCAAAGTAAACGTATGTTATTCTGCGTGCTTAAGATGTGTTTTGTTTTCTTTCTACAGGTTATCTTAAGGGTTTTTCCATTGTTTCAATTTTAGTTTTAGTATAACAATACCATGCAAATTTGTACTTTTAAAAAAAAATTTAAATAAGAAAGCAATCCAATGTATGGCTGACATTTCAGGCTTAATACTATAGAAAAGCAATAAAAGTTTTTCAGTTTTCAGCTTGTTTATTTTCATATAAAAATATGGCATGCAATTGCTTCAAACAATGGTATAAACATCATTCAATGTACATTGTGGTAATCGTAATTAATAATTGTAATTACAATTTCAAGGCAATAATCGACAATTATGATTTTTGTCATAATCGTGCAGCCCTAACCTGTATTGTATTGTATGTGTAAGAACATTACTTGCAAAAAATTATTTTAATATTCCATTTATAAATATTTAGATATTTTTGAATAATATATATATATACACATACACTGTGTATATATATTATTTTATATAATATTTGTATGGTTTGTTTACCTAGATACAAACTTTTTATTAAATGTGTAAATATTTAAATTTTTTAACAAGAAAAAAAAATTGTTCTTGCAAAAAATAATGTATATATATTTCTATATATGTTGTACTTTTTATATATTTTATCTTCGATAATATTTACATACTTATTTTTAGTGTTTTATTTTATTGTACCGATATACAAAATGCATGTAAAATACTGATTTTAATATTATAATTCTGAATATTCATTTAAAAATACATTTGTTTAATTTTAGCTATAGATAAACCTTTTTTTTTGAATGTCTGTGAATGTGTTTATTTCTTATAGTAAATAAATACATGTCTATGTGTGAGGTGGTGTGGTTGAGTGGTTAGAGCTCATAGCATAAGACCTCACCCCAATGCAGGAGATGTGGGTTCAAATCCCACCTCTGCTGCAGATCTGAATGAGGAATCCCATCTTTTTCCCATTTAGCAGCCCAAAAAAAAGATTAAAAAATATTTTTCTTCTTTAGCTCATCCTCCTTTCTCAGGCCTGCCTCTCTCTCATCCCCAGCTTCCTCAGGCCCGCCTCTCTCTCATCTCCAGCTTCCTCAGGCCCGCCTCTCTCTCATCTCCAGCTTCCTCAGGCCCGCCTCTCTCTCATCTCTGCCTCTGGACCAGCCTTCATTTCTTGGCCCTCTCATCGCCCCAGGTACATCTGATGGTTAGCCCGTGTTTCTTATGGCTGTGTGACCAGTCTGTTTTACCGCTCTAGGTATTTTAGCCAGTCTGCCTCTGGCTTTCTGTTTCACCACACTCAGTTATTTGCTGTTGTCACAGCTTTCTCTCTTTGGTGTGATCTCCACACACCAAGGTGGGATTTGAACCCAC